GGGGGAGGGGAGGGGAGGGAGGGAAGGGCAGTCCTGAAGCTTCCTCATTTGTTTCTACATTTCAGATAGCTTTAAAAGATGCAAACTTAAAAGCCAAGCCCTGAGACATATGGAGACTGAACAGCTACAAGCCAGGAGGGGAGAAAGGAAAAGATACAAGTAACTTCTCTCTAACCTCTAGCTTCATCTTTCAGGCGCTGCACAGACTCCAGGAGGTTTTCCTTCTCATCCAGCTCACTCTCCAGAAAAGCATTTCTTTCAATAGCCTGGTTTAAACGCTGTTCAAAATCCTCTAGAGACATTATAGTGGCTCTGAAAAAAAGTGCATAAGAGATCACTACCAGATCCTTCAAGCACAGAGGAACCTTCTCTCTCTCAACAAAACAATAACATTGCATTTAGTTTTTTTGCTTTTCATATTATTTTTATTTTAGCTTGTAAGATATGAAAGTGTGCAGCACAGGGAGTGGAAAGGAAAAAAACTTGTGTTTCCCATCTGCCACAAGCCTCTTCACCACAATCATCACTTAAGGGATGAGTTCAGAATGGCAGCGTTAAAGAGCACAGCATCACAAACAGCTCAGCGTCACCATTATCACAGGACAGAACAAAGGTGGAAAAAGAAAACACAGAAGTTGGGTCACCTTTTTGCTCTTTCCAAATCATCATTTGCTTGCTCGAGTTCTCGAATATATTTCTGAAGTTGATCTTTAATAGCTTTTGTCTGTGCCAAGTCATCTTGCAGCGCAGAGATTTGCCTGTATCCTTCTGAATGCTGAATTTCAATCTTTTCCTAACCAAAGGCAAATCAAAGAGCATTATCAAGGACTTAGCAATGCACGTGTTCATTCTGTGGCATTGCCTGAGCCCCTTTAAAGGCAGAAGCAGATGCTGTGATGTTTTTTTTGAGAAACATTACCTTATATATGGCAAAATGCCAACAAAGACAATTGCTCACATAGTTCTGGACTGTCAGTAGAGAAGAGCTGTTCCTGTCACCTCTTAAGAAACAATGGTGCTGCCGGAGCAGTTCCTGACCTCCACAGTACTGTTCCTTGCTCTCCCAGACTGCAAGACTCAACATAATTTCTGAGCCCCACAAGCTTTAGCAACATACAAAGCAGGGTGCAAGAGAAGCCCCTTCTTTTTAACTCCAGTAAAATCGAGTATTACTTCAGAGCCTAAATAAGAAAAAAAATATCCAAGTATAACATTGTAATATACTGCTCTGAACCAGCAGGATTTTCCACTGCCCCTGCGGTATTTCAGCCCATAGCGTTTTAGATCACACAACACTTCAACATGCTTTGGATGTAAGCCTAAAACAAACTGTCTTCCTTTACAGCATCTATGCAAGAGCACATTTACAACAGACACAGGCAGGGAGGAAGGCTTAAGCTTCTCCATTAAATCTCTCTCTCCTGATACTGTTGCTGTATGTGGAACTAGCTCCACATCACATGAGACGGAAAGCTTCACAGCACACAGTCTACTGCAACACTTTACACCTTGCTATCAGATCCCTTCAACAAGACAGAGATCTTTTTAACTCCAAGACTGCTGTGTAAGTAGCATTCCAAAAATACTTTCTCCATCCAGAATTTAAGTACAACACAGTTGAAGACACTTAAAACAAATCCATGCACCAGAATTTGAAAACCATGGCATGTAGTCCAGCATGACTGATAACCTGAAGACAGCTATTTTAGCACACAAAATACATTAACAAAGGGGAAGAAGGAATTCTTAATTCTGAATTAAGACATTCTAATTTGATTACAGCATGGTGACATTACTATAACTCCAGATCTCTGAAGCATAGTTACATGCTGAATTTAAAAGCCTCCAAGCTCTAAGAGGCAGATTACTTGCAAGTAGGTTTTCAGGACTCTCTAAACAAACCCTCCAAAGCATCATTTCCATTTATGGTGTGAACTGGTTTCCTAGAAGGGAGCAAGTACACACACTAGGATGGAAGCTCAAAGCCACAAGCTGTGTGGGCCTGGCAAAGTTCACTAGTCTTGACCTAGATGCAGACACCAATCCTTGATGGGCTCAGTTAACATTGCTGCTCAATAGCTTTGCGAGTTTAACGCTTTGCTCTTGAATTGATTCAGATAAAAGACCAGAACTGCAAGGTTTGAGTCTTTGTTTTTAGCCAATTGTAATAAACTATCAGCTGATCTGGCCATCAATGGTGTCTCTGTTCCTTCACTGCAGGCTGTTATTGCAGTTTTCAAGCTGCATGAATAGCCAATTGTTAAAGAGGTTCGTTTCAAGTAAGTATGTTTTAATAATCTACTATGAAGGATAATGTAAGATTTTCTAAAATATATCTACCCTCCACTTTTGAGGGTCTATGGTGTTTCCTACTATTTTCATTCTTAACTGCTTCGGCTGCTTCATTATTCCTTCCCCTCATCCTAGCTCCTTTGGAGCAGGAAAATAGTCCACACCCTGCTAAAATGAACTGTGGGTTTTATTTTTGTTAAACTTACATCTTCACCCCAAACCCAGCAGTTTACATGGATTTTTGTGGCTACATGGAACAGTAAAGCAGTACTCATACAACATGCAGAGCATTTAATACTGCTAAGGAGCTAATTCAAGAACAGTAAAGATCAGTGCAACATAAACACAATGAAACAAGCCTTGGAGCTTTTGCTACCAAAGAGCAGGGGGCAGGAATCACTACGCTGGTGCCAGAGGGACAAGACATCTGCTGGGAATGAAGATTATTTTCTTGAGACAGTAATTTGGACAACAATTTAGACAGAAGGCATTGCAAACCTGGATTAATCCAGTGATGAATCACTTGTACAAATACCTTCACTCCCATTAGCTCATTATTGCATCCAATTGAGTAGAAGTACAATTACATTAATCTCTGCTTCCAGAGATACTGACGTAGCCCTACAAAATACAGCGTAGTGTTTCCTGGGAGATTATACCACACCTTTAAGTAAAAGGCCAACAAGATCAAACTTTAAAAAGGCACACATCAATTTCAGTGCCAACTCGTTTTCAAGTTTTCTTAAACTTACCGGTATTTCCTAAACCTGTCAACCAGCACAGGGGACTAGCAGCATCTTTAATGAGACCAAAATGAGGCAGACTCATCACTCTTCATACTCTGGATAGCTTCATGGTCTCATAAGTCACTCAGTAAGTTCCATCTCAGTAACTTCATATTCCTTATGCTTTATAATTATGGAAGTTAACACTTTACAGCTGGTTCTTAGTTCCACAGAAGGCTAACCAACTATAGAGGATACATTATTCTTCCCAAGTATAGACAGATCCATTAATAAGACCAGGACTGGACTGAAACTATTTTATGCCTTTCAATTCTATGCATTACCCACCAGAAGCTGCTTCCCAGCTTACCTGGAATGCC